ACTATTAAGCATGCAATTTTAGGTGAAATTTTGTTCCATGTGAAACATTAATTTTAATAGAGACTTTATATATAAGCTCTCGTTTGAATAATAATGTAAAATTAAATTTAAATTGTAAATAACGTCCAGATACTAGTTGTTTCCTGGCTCAAATTCTTCAGCACATATGGTGCTAGCATAAGCTTGTGCCTGTCTGCCTACTCTGGGTAATTTTGCATGCAAATAGTTTTAGTGCCTATGTTGAGGTGCTAAAACGTGTTTAGTACACTTGAAAATATTTGCATTGCAAAAGGAGAGCAAATCTCCTGAGGAAAATCAAATTGATATTTTGTATTAAGAGACCACTCTGGGCACTATGTGGCAATCTTCTATGGAGAATTCTGTTTACAGTGCAATGAGCATTTTTAATTGACCTTTAGCAAAGAAGCTCTGGCTACAGCTTTGCCAGGTTTATAAACCATTGGGCCATCTTCTGGCAAAACTCACCACATTTATCATGAGGAGAGAGAAAGCTAAGGAAAGAATGGACTTGCCTTGGCTGGACAGTAGATTTTCATGCCTCAGTTTGGTGGATGGGTAGGATAAATGTGTTAATTATAATAAAAACTTTCAGTTGGAGTGTGCCTAACTAATTAGCTAACTAACTAACCAGCTAACTCAGGAAAGGCTTCAGCACAGGGAAGCAGCAGTGATGCTGGGTGTGAGGCCGCACACACGCTCCCATTTGCTTCACTTCCATCTGCTGCATTTACAGGAATCAGTTCGTTAAGAGTCTGAATTGAATCCAAATAAAATGAATTTCTGATGCAAGCCCGATGACTGGTGCCATTCTACGCCGCATTATGTCAAGTTAGAGTTCGGTTGAAAGCGAGGGGACAGAGATCTTACGCAAACATCATACACATAGAACGACGAGTGAATGTGAGTCTGCAGAATTCAGTATCCCATTTCTGTAAACGGGTGCCCCCATCTCCAGATCTGATCCCTATTCACCAAGACCAATTACAACATCAAAATCCCCTCATAACGTAATGAATAGAATTCAAGAGCTGTGCTAGTAAGACATCTATGAAACTTTTCTTGTAAGTATCTTTCAACATTTACAGAGAATTTAATTTTATTACATTGACCAATTCAGTTATTTACAAAATGAAAGTAAGTCAGTGCCTGTAAGATAAACAGATGACCCAAGGTCTATGAGAGGAATTTTTACTGTGGGATGTTTTTCTGTCTGCAACCTCGCTCTTCTGCAAAGAAGTGATACCAGATGGAATTTTAACAGTGCTCATTGTAGTGAAGTTTTTCTATCACTTCCAGCTCAAGCTCCAAGCAAGGGATTGCTTACTATAGATGACTATATTGGCTGTTTGATGCTGCTGTTCGATCCAGATTTTCTCCCCATATTTTACCCTTCCATGACTAATAATTTTTTCCACCCTTGTCACTTCCTATTGTGCACAAGGTGCAATATTTTGTGTCAAGGAAGAGCCACAGTCAGGTAGCAAGCAAGAACTGAAAGGAATTCATTATGAATACACACCACTAAGGAGGCCTTGACTGTGTTGTGGAACGCCTGCTGGCTATCTATTTCCTTTAAAATAATCTTTAAAAAAATAAAAAGCCTCTGCTGCCTGTGGGATCCTGGCACATCAATCAATCCATTAAACAAGTAAATAAGGCAATAACCAAATAATAAATCATGTGAATTTCACACATGCACAAACTTTTTGATACATAAATTACAAGAAGGGTTTAGATTCTGAGACTGTACCTACTATCCAATAATTTTGTATACAAGATGCAGAGCTATTCTAAACTGCGGTGCATTGCTCATTTTGGTCCCCAAATCATGGGGCTTCTTAGCATACCTTCGGTGGTGGTGTGTGCATGATGCATGGCACGGGAGTGTGTGTGTGGGGGGGGGGCATGCTGTTAGGGGGAAGCCTACCACACATTTCTGCCATCACAGACTGTGGGCAAACAGCTGTCTCCACAGCTGAGGCCTCTGGAGCCGCCCGCACTGCTCTAGTAACTCGAGAGCACACGGCTGGTCCCTGGATGGCACAGAGCGAGCAGAGTGCCCGAGCTTTCCTGGGGCTGAACAGGCGGAGACTTTGCCACCAGACACAATAAGCATCTGAAATGGGGGCTCATGAATAATTCATACTCGGTGTCCTACGAAACAAAGAAATGATATGTTTGCTGGTAGATAACTGTGTTGTGGCATTTGTAAATCTTTCTGAATGTGGAGTGGATCATGTTTCTTGTTGGTAGAGAAATATGTGGGTTTTTTTTTCACTTTCCTAAAACAGAAAAGTTGGTCGTTCGATATAATAATCCTACACTGAAGGATTTCCATGAAATGCTGGATGGGTTAGACTAATTTGGCTCATGATTTAGGAATTTTAAAAAATCTCATTCAGTGAAGAGGAATGGTGAAATGGTTTTACTGCAATAAAATACAGCAGGATACCAAGTTCTCAAGGACATTATTTTTTTTTTTTTTTGTCTTGGTAGGCAACCAGCCCACTTTTGCTAATGCAAGTTTCATTACTAGAGACTAGAAAACAGTGGTGCTTCCACATGGCAGGATAGTATCGGGAGGCATAATTCTTCACTTTTCACTAAAATATTAGTAAAAATGATACTTTGGTGAATTGAGCCCTAAATTGTTTTAGTGATAGTTAAATACCCACTAATCTGACACTACTTAAATTGGCAATAAAAATGACCCCCAACCAAGTTGGACCTCTATCCTGTTTCTGCTTTGGACCTAATGCCAGGGATCTATAAAACCGCTGGGTAGACTTTGTGTATTTGCATAACGAGTATCTCTAGTGTTGTATAAAGTAACTAGCTGTTCAAGCTTATCATAATTAATATTTTATAATTAGTATCTGAATATTCATTTCATTTATTCTTTAATATCTATGTACTCATTTCCTTGAGGGGGGGAGAAAGAAATTGATTTAATAGTTCTTCATTATCTTTGAAACGACAATCTGGCAAAACAAATCATGGTGATATACTCTGTCATCTCTCCAATAATTATCTCAAATCTGTCTTCTATTATTCACTCATACTTTCACCACATTTTTTTCCTTTGTTTTGCAGCATCTTCTTGTTTGTCTCCCTTGTTTTCAGGTTGCCCAGGAATGACTGTACATCCGTAAACCTCACACAATTCGATATGGTTGGCAGGGAAAGTCAGAAAGAAGGCAGGCTGATTTTGCTGAAAGAAAGAAACAAGCAAAAACAAAATATGGGCCTGCCAATTATATGCTGGCGTGAGAATATAATTCCTTCTTGCTTTCAGGTAGGTAGTGGGATCTTCCATCAAAAGCAGAGCAGTAAATGCCGTGTGAGGCGTATTTTTGGTTTTGGTTGTTGTTTTTATCCTGAAGCTCCAATAACATACCAAATAGTAGATTCACAATATGTACAGGTAAGGACTCTTTTTTCTTTACTTTGGCTGTGTAGGATTAAGATTGTAAATAGAATGATGGTGGGACATAAATTGCTCCCTGCCTTTTAAAAAGATAAGTAGATTTCCAGTGGAGATAGTAACTAAATAAGTGGTAGGAATGTCCTGGGGCCAGGGAGATAATCATAAGAAATAGACGTAACAGCCTTAGGATGAACAAAATACAAACAAAACCTCAAGGCCCGAGGCAGAGGCTAGTGGCAACTCCCCTCGCTTCTCATTGGTCGCCCAGGTTCCTGTTCCTCCATCACCTTCCTCGAACGAGGCTGTGGTGAGACAGCAGGAGCCTCTCAGGCCTCTTCTTCCTGCGCCTCCACACTTTTCAGTCTTCATCACCTATTGACAGAGCCTGATTGCTCTCACTTTCCAGAACATCACACTTGGACTGCCATCATTTTGTTTCCAGTGGTAAAGAACCTGCCCGCAATGCGGGAGACACAGGAGACGCAGGAGATGTGGGTTCAATCCCTGGTAGAGGAGGATCCCCTGGGGGAGGAAATGGCAGCCCACTCCAGTGTTCTTGCCTGGGAAAAGGTCATGGACAGAGGAGCCTGCTGGGCTAAAGTCTATGAGGTCGCAGAGTTGGACATGACCTAGCTACTGAGCTCACATGCATGTTAAAGAATCCTTTACAGGAATGACAAGCAAATTCATAACTCGTATTTTGTGTTTGATTCCATTTATATATTTGAGAACTGTAAAGAAATTTAAAGAAAACACATTTAAGGGTAGGTGCTTTGATAACAAAAATAGGAACCAAAGAAGACCAATAAGTCAGTCAATAGCATATAAAACTGGTAGTATATTTAAGGTTAAGAAAACTCAGGTTCTTTGGATTAGAGATGCTTAGAAAATGTCAGTTTTCCAAAATTTCAATCCTGTCTCTGTCACATTTGTATTATGATAGACACTGAAAGTCCCTAAATATATTTCCTTGTTTGTAAAATGGGGACAAAAATGCATACTTCACAGAGTATTTTAAAATATCAGAACTAGTGATCTAATGTATGGAAAGCATGTTGGTAATTTATAATGCCCATTAGAGTTGCCTGGAGAGCTTTGAAAAGCTATGGATATCCTGTTCCCACCTCCATCCAATTGAATCAGACTCTCTGGAGACCAGGCCCTGACAACATACTTTGAAAAGCTCTTCAGGTGATTCTGCACTATAGCCAAGGATATGAACCACTGATGGAAAAGCCCGAGATTGAATGAATACTCAGTAAATATTATCCATTTCTTCTCATTCATGTCCCATGAATATTAGCCCAATCAGGACACAGATTTTATCACTGGAAGGAATTTACAAGGGCAGTTAATCCGTCTCCTTGCTTTGAAGGTAAAGAAGCTGGTGGCAGCTGGATTAGTGATGTGCCCATCTCTCTTCCTCTCAGATGGGCCCAGCTCTTTGTGATCCCGTGGACTGTAGCCCGCCAGGCTCCTCTGTCCATGGAATTCTCCAAGCAAGAATACGGGAGTGGGTTGCCTTGCCCTCCTCCAGGGGATTTTCTCAACCCAGGGATTGAACCTGCATCTCTGGCATTTCCTGTATTGGCAGGTGGGTTTTTTCTTTTCTTTTTTTTTTCTTAAAACTACTAGCACCACCTGGGAAGCCCTTGACCATGGTCACACAGTTAATGGTGAGACTGGGATCCTGGTATTCATTCTAGAATTTTAAAGCTGTCTTCTCTGGCACAGCTTTTAAGAAGGCAAGTGAGATCTTAGATGGGGCTGTCTTATCTTTCCCTTGCTTCTTTGGTTTCTCAACAATATTTTATGGCAATGAGGTTATAACTAAAGTCAGAAGCAAAGGATTACACATTCAACTACTATCCTCATGAGCTGTAAAGACCTTGACTTGGTAGCATTTATTCATAGAAACTTGAGCAGAAAAAACACAACCCTGCAATGCTTCCTCAGAGAAGGCACATGCATATGTGGTTGGACTTCTCATACTTGGGGTCATGCTGCTTCTCCATCTTACTGATTAGTTCCTGTGTGATTGATATGGAAAATCTGAGCTATTTACCACCACATAGTTATGAGCCATCATACAGGTGCATTTAATTTTTAATTACTCTTAAAAATGTTTTTAATAATTAGTAGCAATAACTACTAATTGGCATGTAAACCATTCTTGCATCAGCAGGCAAACTGTAGGTTTACGTCTGTACACCCACACCCAATCAACTGAAAATTGCTTCAGTGCTTATCTTATAATTACTGTGCTTAATGCTGTTTGCATTGTTTGGAAGCTTTTGTAATTAATTGCCTTTTTTTTTTTTTTTTTTTTTACCTCTGAACCTGTACATGGAACAGTAAAGATTAGTCCTTTACTCAGTAACATCTTATTTACATTGAATTGTTTAGACGCACATAAGAGAGAAAATAATGGGTTTTGTTTTTACCTGCCAGATGTATTTCCTCTGTTTATACAATAGTTAGATAGATCCCATGTAGAATTTGGAACTGCTCTAGCTACCTTCTCGACTTTCTGGTTCTCCTCAGTGCTGTTGGACTTTGGCACAATTACATTTTCAGGCAGACTCTCAGACTCTGTATTCCTTTATCCCCTTCCCCATTATTGATTCTGCAAAGATTTATGGATAAAGGAAAATCATTTCCGAATGTCTCTATTGAAGTGAAGGCCAACATAGCTAAAGTTTCAGTTTGTTTCTTGGCAGTCAAAAATGTATATTTTATATATATATATATATATATCTGTGCCAGTCATTGTGCCTTTGATCTTGAAAGTGACAGTCACAGTGAACCACTAAAAAAAAAATCACTTAATAAATTGAGATTATTGGTATGCTAAGCCAGTTTTAGAAATAAGTGATGAATCTGCCAATGTTTTCATAGTAGTAAATGACAAATAAAATTTTATGATGAGAGAGGCAAAAGATAAAACTTGACTTTATAATTGTCAGCCATTAGGTATTGGTTATGAACTGCTACTGAATGAAGACATGGGTAGGAACATTTCTTCTTTATTCAATCACTCGCTGAATAGTTACTGGGAATACAATGTGCCAAGAAACGTGCTAGACAATTGGTATACACAAAGAACAACAACAACAAAAACAATGTGGTCTTGGGAGTTGGAAAAAACCTTAAATCTTGATTCCATAAATAAGTAACTAGGAGACTTTCAGAAATTATTTGATCTCCCAGAACTTCATTTGTGTCATCTAAAAAGTGGAGGTGGTGACACTCTTGTAGGTTCATTTTGAAAATTAAAAGAAATCCCATATATGAAACACTTTGCACTTTTCTGTATTTACTTAATGTGTGTATGCTATAATTTTAATTAGACTAAAGAATCCCCAGTCCAGTAAGAGTGAGATATGCTATCATTCATAGGGTCCTTTGATTGCAAGAAACAGGAACAAATTTTGGCTGCTTGAATAGGAGATAAAGTTATGGGAAAGCTCTTGGGACATTCACAGGACCAACTGGAAGCCTGGAGAAACAGGCTTAGAAAATAGAACTCGGAAACCAGCACATGTGAGGGTGTGAGTATCAGAATGTCTCAACAGCCTTGGAGGGCAGTGCTGGGGACAAATACATTACAACCTTTTTGTCCTTATTCTTTATCCTTCTCTTCAAGATTCAGCAACTGAGGAGAAGGAGAGGAAGAAAGAGGGAGAATAGATAGGAAGGGAGGAGAGAGAGGAGTTAATGGAATTTAGTCACGTATCTATTCCTTAGAAGGAGAGGCTGGGGCACCTTGATCTATAGATGCACTGAGACATACTCAGTGGGGGAAGAAGTAACCCCTCAGTGGAACTCTGGATGCTACCACAAAAAAGGGTGACTGGTGACTAGTAGCCTGAAATCAACATAGAATATGTAACACAGGATCTGACTACAGCATCAGAAATAGGGTTGGCTTCATGAACATTTCATCTATGCAATCACAAAGGTCCCATTTATAAATAAGGGACCCATATCTTCATTTTGCACTGGGCTATGCAAACTTTGTAGTGGGTCTTGGTCATATGTTCTATGGTAGGGATCTATACACCGCTCTGTGGAAGCCCAAAAGATGGAAGAATATTCAGAAAGAATTCATTGGAAAGCCAGAGGAGGGTCCCAGGGGTGAAAAAGTATCAGATAGATTTTGAAGAGTGGAGAAAGGGCGGAGAGCATTCAGGTAATGAAAACTGAGAAGCAAAAGTCAATGGAATTTTCTATGATCAAGGATATTAAACAAGATTCTGACACAGTTGTGACTAAAATTATTCTCTTTAAGAATGGAAAAGCAAAAAAAAAAAAAATGGAAAAGCAAAGATATTATGAATACAGGCTGGAGAAATATACTCTATTCTGTAGTACAAATCAGCAGAGGACACCTTGTGAGCTATGAAAAGGCTCCCACTAGAGTCAAATAAACCAGGGTGCTTCTATTCCACTGGAAACACCTGGATTAAACATCATCTAGTTCTTGCTTGCAACTATCCTCCTCCTGAAGTCACTGGAAGCAAGCACTATCCCCAGTGAACGCTCTTAGCTTCTGGACACCAAACTCCTACGTTAATGGCAGGGCTTTCGAGTGGGATGGCTAAGAGGAAAGCAGTTTAGCTTTGTTTTCTACAAATAATTCAATGCAGCTTTGTTTTTCAGTGCTTTCTGATATCAACCTTTCTCTTTTATCTAATATTTTAATAGTATTTCAGGAATCTAGTCTAGTACTTTTCTAAGGTATAAAAGTTCAGAACATGCCCAATCAGTGCTTATTCAGTCTTTGCTGGAATACCTTCAGCGCTTTCCAGTTTGGGCTTCCCTCATATCTCAGTCGGTAAAGAAACTGTCTGCAGCGCAGGAGCCCTGGGACTGATTCCTGAGCTGAGACGATCCCTCGGAGAAGGAAATGACAACTCACTCCAGTATTCTTGTCTGGAGAATCCCCATTGACAGAGGAGCCTGGCAGGCTACAGTCCTTGGAGTCACAAGACTCAGACATGACTTAGCAACTAAACCACAAACACCAATCCAGTTTTGGATAGATGTAATTGTCAGAGTTTTTCCTCCTACGGAGCTAAATCTGACCTGCCTGTTACATTCACCAAGAAATGTCTTGGAATCACCCAGATTAAGCCTCACTCGTCTTCCCCAGGCAAATATCAAATTTATTTTCTAATTACAGTAAAAATTTTCTCTGCTTTTGAGGCCCATTCTAGTGGGAAAATGTCTATTAGGTTTTCTTTTAAAAAGCTCCTTTTAGCACTGTGAGAGCTATGAACCATATGGTGGAGCCTAAGAAGTTCCTCCTCTGGGCTAGATTGGATTGTGTTATATTTCCAGGGTCATGCAGGCCTGCAAGTTTCTCCTGCAGATTCAGTTTGCCTTCTGAACTTCATCCTCTCTGTGGGAAACAATTTTCTCCATTCCCTCCATCATTTGTAATGGGCTAGGCTCCTATCCAGTTGAATCCATTGCATGGGACGTGGAGCTGGTCACAAATATGCCTGTGCCAGGAAGGACAGCCCAGACATTTGCCATCTGTGTCTCAACTTCCTCCAGTTCTGTTCCTGGGCTGCTTATCTAGGGACACACTCATAGGCACTATTTCCCAGTCCCCTGGAAAAGAAAGAACTGGCAGACTGCTCAACATTAGGTTTTCGAGGGAGGCCTTCTTTTATGAGATTTTTCCCTAAATTTGAGTAGGACTCTTTTTTTCAATGTGCTGGAGTAGTATGCTTTCAGATGGGTGTGCTGAAACAAATCTACTCAGTAACTACAACAAGGTCTTCTTTATGATGGCAATTTTGTTTCATAGGGAAATCAAGCCAATGCTTATAAGCTTTTTTTTTAATAAACATAAACATTCATTGAGTAAAGAGGAATTAGAATTGTACATTCTTGGATACTTGCCAGTGAGTCATATTGACAAAGGACTGTTTCTGCAACCAAAGTCTTACTCCTGAGTATCACATCTTTTCTTGAGTTGCATGACAGTTTGCCACCTCTCAGTACTAAAGATAAAACTATCACATGTTACTCCCTTACCCTTCAAATATCAGGTTCAGGAAAACAATAAGAGAGAACTCAGCTTTCTTGTCTTGATCTTCTCTTTCTCAATCCCTATACTGTCATGCCCTTTGTATAATTTTTCCACGTGATTATTTGCTCTCTGACCAAGGTAGAAGTATTCAGTCTAATCACAAAGAGCTTGACTGGATTTGAGATGGTATTAGCAACATACAGATAAATAGAGAATGTAAGGTAGAAATAATGACAGAAACAACAGCTCTATTATTTATAGAGCAACTACTATCAGCCATGCCTTCTGATAGGGACCACATACACATTTTCTTAAATTCTGGTAATGCTATAAAGCAGGAATTGTTACTCATGTTTTGAAGACAACTAAACTTGGGCTCAAAAAATTTAAGTCACTCTCCCCAGTTTGGGCTGCTCTTAAATGGTCGTGTGAGAGTTCAAAGCCATTTACCCTAACTTCTAAACTTTATGTTGCAAGTAAAGAAGTGAGTAGAAAATTCTGGGCTTGTATCTTTTCAAATAATGGTTTTCTCTGAGTATATGCCAAAGAGTGGGATTGCTGGGTCATAGGGTAGTTCTATTTTTAGGTTTTTAAGGAACCTCAATACTGTTCTTCATAGTGCCTACACCAATTTATATTCCCATCAACAGTTTAGGAGGGTTCCCTTTTCTCCATGTACACCAATGCACATTGGAGCACTATTTACTGTTAGCCAGGACATGGAAGCAACGTAAATGTCCATCAACAGAGGAATGCATAAAGAAGATATAGTATGTATATACAGTGGGAATATTACTCAGCCATAAAAAAGAACTAAATTGTGCAATTTGCAGAAACATGGATGGACCTAGAAACTGTCATACTGAGTGAAGAACATCAGACACAGAAAGACAAATGTCATATGATACCACTTATATGTGGAATCTAAAAAAAAAAGGATACAAATAAACTTATTTACAAAACAGAAGTAGAGTCACAGATGTAGGAAACAAAGTTTTGGTTACTACAGGGTAAGATGGGGGAGGGATAAATTGGGAAATTGGGATTGACATATACACACTCATAACTAATAAGAATATGCTCTATAGCACGGGGAACTCTACTCAATATCCTATAATGACCTTCATGGGAAAAGAATCCAAAAAAAGAGTGAATATATGTATATGTATAACTGACTCACTTTGCTGTACCCCTGAAACTAACACACCATTGTAAATGAATTATTGAAAAAAATTGAAACAAAAAAGAAAAAAAAAAAGGAAAATCCTAGGCTTGACACACCTAGCAGAAAGTACTCTAGACTTGGCTGCATAACTACCTAGTGTACTATTTTTTGAGGTCACAAGCTATAGTGTGCATGTATGTAAAAGTGAAAGCGTTAGTTGCTCAGTCGTGTCCGACTCTTTGCGACCCCATGGACTGTACCCTGTCAGGCCCCTCTGTCCATGGGATTCTCCAGGCAAGAATGCTGGATTGGGTTGCCATGCCCTTCTCCAGGGGATCTTTCTGATCCAGGAATTGAACCTGGGTTTCCCGCATTGTAGGCAGATTCTTTACTGTCTGAGCCACCAGGCAAGTCCATGTACATGTATACTTACATTATTCCCAGCATAATCTGGAGTTCTTTTCATTAAATCTTGAGCTTTTAAACACATTCTAATAGTGATCAAGATTTTGGTAACACATGTCTTGCATTACACCATCCTGATTAGATGAAAAGGATGTTTATATGTAGAGCTATAATTGATATTAATAAAGAACCACAATTTGTTAATTCTGCTTAATACTGCTGGCATTGCCATTTATTTTCTTGAGGCAAAAATTAAAAGATATTAATATCAAAATATATTTTTGACATAAACTTACTTTTTTTAACTTCTTAAAATAGAAAACAATATTCATATTCCGAGTTAATCCAGCTTCAACTCCACTTACTCTTTCAAAATTCACTCAGAGTTTTAAATCACACTGAGCTTCCCTTTTCCTTTTAGTTCAGTGGAGACGTGTGCTTGATGGCACTGCTGTAATAAAATAAAATGTCAGTCCTCCAAGGTTGGCAGTGCAGAAGGAATCAAAGCTAGCCTAGGCAGGGTGGCTAGACAGGGCAGCCAGGACTCTCTCCTCAATGAAGGAGTCACTTGTTTCTTGGGCAACTGTGAAAGGGTTAGATTTGGTTACAATGCTAATTGAACTAGAGGTTTTAACCCACGTGGTGACTGTGGTAGAGTAATAGCAACAGCCTTAATACACCTTGAAAGAGGTCTCTCAGATCCACACAAGCCAGAGATTCTCCCACTGCTACCAAGCTTAGATCCTGGTTCGGTATCTTAAGAGGAACTAGTGGGTTTTCTTACACAGCTTGCTAGTATAAGTAGTGTATAAGTAGTGCCGAGTAAATTTCCTTAGAAACAACCTAAAGTAAAAACTATGGGCAAGAAAAGGAAGTGTTAACTTGTACTTTTCCAAAATCTGGATGTTTTTCTTACTTCTCAAAGTCACTGGGAAATTCAAATCAGAACAAGATGTGAAATCACCATCCAAAGAGTAAAACATTCTTATTTTTAAAACTGGCGAGTAGCAGAGAGATGTATCTTATCATCTGAGTTAGTAGTCATAAATCCTAATAGCTGGTTGGGAAGCTTTTCGGACTTTGCTTTTTAAAATTTATTGTGTGGCACTGATTATTGGAGTTGGGTCCTGGCATGTCTGCCTGGGGACGAGGGGCTCCAGTTAGAGGAAGACTGGATTTCAGCATTAGCTCTACTACTGATGCGACCTGCACCTCGGTGTCCAATTTTCCATCTGAGACATGGAAGAAAAATGCCCTTAGAGAGTTTGGTGAAGAATCCACAAGTTAATGTATGGAAGGCACTTAGAAAGCAGCATGGTTCAGAGTAAGTACACAGGACCTGTTAGGTGTTATTGCCATTAGATAGATAGAGTATTAAATCTTTTCAACACTCATAGGTAGAAACTGTCAGTGCTGACATCTAGGGAAACTTTTATCTTCCACACTGACTCCAGTTGAGAAGCACATTGTCTTGCATAGTGTCCTCTGGTCAGACAGGAGAGACTCTCCTGAAAAAGAAAATGCAACTTCAGCTCCCAAGAGAATCTCCTTATGCCTCTGTTTGTTTTTGGTTTTTTAAATATTAATTTAATTTTATGGAATGGATTAAAATACTCCAGAGAGCCAGGAAGGCTGATGGTCTAGAGAAAAGAAGACGTAGATCCCTGAAGACAAGTTTATGGTTTGTCTCATCCCTGGTTTGGATCTAGGTAATAATTATTCTCCAGAGAGAGAGAGAGAAATGGAGACTAAAGCCTCTAAAGGCAGCCTTAGACCATAGTGGCCCTCAGCTGTTCATGGTAGCCCCAATATTTTATGCTGTGGCCCCTTAGATTTTGAGGCACTACATACAGAAGGTAAAATTCTCTCAGGCACGATTTGGGAGAGGGTGACAGTTTTGACACTTTTCAACCCCTCTGCCCTGAACTTCAGCTCCCCTGAATCACTTTTTTCTTTGTAGCATCATTAGATATCCGTAGTCAACTTGTGAATTATTGTAAAAGGCTTGTGTTCTAACATGTAACTAGGCTCATAAATTATCTCTTAATTTCCCCTAATTTTACAGCTAAAGAAAACAGAAGATCGAGACAGGCTAAATGAAGACCACAAAGCCAGTCAATGTGGAGCTGAATCTGAGACTGAGGACTTCTGATGCCTGGTTCAAAGAGCAAGCAGAAAGATAAAATAGTAGCATACTGGATTCATTAAATAGCAATGATAATAATGATGACGATGATGATAGCAAATACTTATTCAGTACTTATGTGCCAGGCACTGTTTCAAGCAGTTTACATTTATTAACCCATATCATCCTTATGAGACTATGAGGAAGGTATTACCATCATCTCCATTTCACAGATGGATAAAGTGAAGTGTGGTGAGGCGAATAAACTTGCTCAAGGTCCCAGCTATTAAATGAAAGTGTGAGGGTTTGAGTCCATATGATCCCCCTACCACCAAGTCCAGGTTTTCAAGCACAGAGCTATATTACTCTACTACATCTTATTCAACAAGCTGTTTCTACCCACATGCAGTTTAACTTATTCTTATTAATCTGTTTTTCTTAAAAAAATTATTAACTCTTCAGGCCACTTATTAGGAATCAAGAATTCATGAAAAGCCACAAATACCCATTTTGTACCTTTTACATCAGTTTATTTATATACACAGAAAACTCTTTTTCAGCATATACACACGTATACATACACACTGCATTATGACATCCAGGGCATTTATCTAGGATACCTGGAAGTGAAATTCAGATTGTTAATATATTCTGGCCACTTAAGTTAACAAAACTGTCATGCATATGATATCCACTTCTAAAAAAATTGAAATAAACTTGACACTAAAACTGTACTCATCATAATTCAATTTCATTTAAATTCTGATTTGGAGGGCATGACAAGATGTGTAGTGCCTCCAGCCTTCCCTATTAACAGTACTTTATATTCCAAAGAAGGAGATATATAAGAGGGGTAGACAATTAAGTCGTCTTTAAATAATATATTAGAAACTTTCTTTAAAAGTTATTTCATATGAATTTATCCTTGAGGTCTTCTGTTTTTGTTTGTCATTTCCTAATGTCAAAATGCAAAAAAGTGAAAGCAAATTTGAGTTACTTAAGCCTAATTGTCTGATGAACTCCTTGAAATGAGATTTCCCTCTTTCATTAATCCTTACATATAGTACAGTGAGATTTACAAAAAGGGAAGAGGTCTGGGCATATTCTATTATCAATAAAAAACATCAACCTTAGAAATGATAGAATGCTTACATGAGAAATGGGCATTCCAAATAATAATGATGTCTAATCCACTGATTAAGAAGACAGTATCTGTACTTCATACCTGAATATACAAAATTTTTCATGTGGAAATTTGTTGTCTTTCTCAAAATAACATCTAGAGGTTAGTGGGTATTATTCTATTTATTTTAATTTTGTTGCTCACATGTTTACAAACTAAATTCTCACTTGCCTTACCTTAAAATAAGAAGATCTGTGTAAAGAACATCTTCAAAAGACTACAGCCTAAAATAAGGGACATATTCTCATTTTGCCGTAGAGTTTTTTTTTTTTTTAAAGGAAATACTGAACATGGCCAGAAATAATTCTTTCCCTTGCAGGGGTACTAATGCTGAAAACTGGCTACAGTATAGAAGGTAGCAAACTTTCCCTAAGTCTTTAGGTCTTTATTTGGAATTTACCCTATAGCAAAATAAAAAAAGGAATAATAGGGAGCGCACACACACACACACACACACACACACACATATTCAAAAAGGAAACCTCCACTGAGGACCCAGCCATCCGGACCCTGAAGAGATATAATCTATGCGTAACAATGCTTAAATCAGCACGACATTTACAACACAGATTAAGTGGTTTGTTATTTATTTCAAGACTTTAATTGGCACAATATATTAACAGCATTGTTGCAACAGTTCCACTTAGGGCTTTCTTTTTTTTTTTTCTCTAAAAAGAGAAAAAGAGGGAGAGAGAAAAAGGGGAGAGCTAGAGAAACAATCACCCAGAATTACGCTATAACCCGTTACGCTATTCCTTTAGCCTAAATGAACTGTTAGAGTTGAAGAAAAGGGAAAAAAAAGGAAACTAGTTTCAGAAACTATATTTTAAACTCGATTCCATCTTATTAAGCCCAGACTAGTGTTTTTTTTTTCTTTTTTTTTCTACCATTACTAATATAACCTATTATGAGAATTTTTTTCCCAGGGACAAAAACAACACCAACTTTCTCTCCCTGAGAGCTTCTTATTGTTCATTTTTGTTGCTATTTGGAGAAAAAGCTCATTAAAATATTATGAAGCACAGAGCATAATGATGTGCCAGCCTTCGCCAATGAGGAACATCTGTAGCACAGTGTATGTATATTTATATTACAGTCAACTTGAGTGCAGACTCTCGCTCTCACCCCTTCTCTGCTTGCCTCTGTGCTACAATTCTTTGTCCCGACTACAGAGCCCGGCAAACATGGGAAGCGCACAGCCCACAGTGCACACATTGTCAGTCTCTGGGGCTCTGAGCGCCAAATGTTATTATTTCATCATTAGCCCGGAGCTCACGCCAGGGTAAACTGTGCTCTGCTAAATGCCTCCAAACCTTCGCTCTTTTTATTCTCCCAGTTATTTTTAAATTGTATCTTTTCCCTCCTTTCAGTTCTCTGGCACAGAAGGATCTGCAAAGTGCATCCAACATGCACCCAGTTCCCAAATCCATGCTTCTCTCTCTTCTTTACGTTATTCCACTTGCTTTCAAACCAAAGAACCTTGGGCATAATGAAAACATTGAGAGCTTGCCTATACCACAAATATTTGTGGAAAGCACATGGTGCCATTTTGCCAGACTACTCTTATTTGTTAAACTGAGTTAAGTGTAACGCGATTCCAAAAACTGCCTTTAGAATGAAAGACAAGGCTTGTAAAGCCAGGGAGATAATTACCGCAATCTGGGTTACAGAAAATGCAAAACAAAGGAGCACAATCCCATTTTGTGTGTGTGTGTGTGTGTGTGTGTATGTGTGTGTGTGTGCTGTGTGGGTCTTTTTATTTTGTTTTGTGTTTTTTCTCTTTGTTAATGTACCCAAACATGTAAATATTCCATGGCATGTGTTGTACGGAGATAAAAATCAACCTGGGATGCTGTAAGGACAGAAAAAAGCACATCCGCTGTAGTGGACAGTGGCATGTTTGTGTTGGGAATATCTTTTCAGAAGGGACAGCTTGCTTTCTGTTTTTTCTCCCTCCATCTAGCAAACACCCACCCAAGTGTGGCAGTTATCACCCATTGGCAAGATTCTAACACCCACCTACCTTCCTTTGAAGCTATCAATCTCTCTTTGCATAAGAAAATAAAAGTTGATTTGAAAAGAACTTGTGTTCTAAAATCTTTCCTATGAATCCATAAAAATACTGGAGAATCCTCCACTCCCTCCTCCCCATGTTATTTTATGGGGATTATTATGCTATCAGCCTTCCTATTGTTGGGACTGTTGTCCTTTGGGATGGTTTTGCAGACTGGACTATTCTCAGCTTTCCTTTCTTTGTCTGCCAATTGTTTCTAGATCTAAACCACTTTTGGAGACAATTATTTCCATACGTGTATGTGTATGTAAATATTAATAATCACTGCATATGTGTATACTTACGTGTGCATAAATAAACACCATCCCACATGTATTTCCCATTTTTAAAGAGCTAGTTCTTACTCCATAAAAAGATTTGTGTTCCCCAAAGCAGGTTGTTAATGTTCTTTATTAAAGAGAAAGAGCAAACCTTCCACGTTTCCTTGTTTTATGTTTAGAAGGAGTGAACCTTGCAGGTCTGAGCTAAGCTTCTTGGTATGTTTTAGCTGAGTCTGGATTTTGGGCTGTAGATTTTGAAACGCACATCACCCAGTTTTCTCAAAAACCGTCACCGCAGTTCCGTCTTTAAATTTCATCTGGACTGTCTCTAACAGTCCGGCTGACCCCATCATTTCCTCCTCTTATTACTAACATGCTTCTCCCCACATGCACAACAGGATATTTTTCAGAGGAAAAGGCAAAAATATATGAGGGGTTTCTTTCCTTTCAGATGTAGACATTTTGTCGCCCGCTTAGCAATAAGTAGACATAGAAAATGAACTTGAGTTTAGAAGAGACAAAATACAGGACGTCACTAAGGTGCATGTAAGGATAAACCCATGAAGCCCTCGAAGCAGAATTTGGCAGCAGAAACGTCCCATTGAGCCAAAAAGCCAGCCAGGGCATAGAAGCTTGTTATTATGACTTGCTCTGTGAGTAAGACCCACAGGGAGACTGTGAAGGCTGCTTAGTGTGAAGCCTGTTTAGAATAGTTGGGGGGTGGGGAGTGTGCAGTGAGCCTAATCAGGCTGTTTGCAACCGTCTGAAAATCTAAAAAAAAAAAATGCAAAAAAAAAAAAGCAAAATAACAGTTTTATGAAAAAATTACTAAATAAGATCATGGATCCCATTTTGAAATCTATTCCATTAAGGACAGGTAGTTCCAAATATGGAAACATTTAAACTACCTGTTAGAAACTGGATGAGAAGTGATGCATTTGAAAGAAAGTAGTAACAAATGCTCAAGATTAGAAATGAGTGCCAGGCCAGACATAGATGAGCCACTTTGAAGCTTTGGTGAATAAATCCTCAAATGCCAAGTCATACTCTCTGAATTATGTGAAGTATTATTGGCTCTTTCCCTCTATCACTTCCATTTTTATTTCTAAACATGATTGAATTGTTTTTTCTAACACTTAATACTAGATTGAATCATGTGAAATTTAGACTGTTTGACAATTTTTGAATTACAAAAATGTAATTTTATATAGTTCAGCCTAATCCTTCCTTCCTTGAACATTATCTATTTTCTTCTGATTGACTCATTTTAGAGTCCACTATAATTTTTGTATTATTTTCTTTCTTTTTCTCTGCTTTCAAATATAGTCGTTCTTCATATTTTAATGCCTGTTGAAAATTTAGAGAATAGTTGGTTTAATGAATGGAAACCATTTAAAACTAGTGTTTAATGTGGGGTCAAAATGGGATTGTTTTCCTTTCAGTTCTATTCTGAGGCTCTCTGTATATAGTTTAGTTTTCCAAATCATTCACCCACTACAAATATTAGGGGCAGGTTGTCATATTTGATGCCCTCAAGGCTTTTACTTCAAGTCTTATAAAGGAAAAGTTGACTTTAAAAATAATCCATGCAAAAGAAAAGGGTCAGAGTAAATACGTTCATAATTTCTGTTACAGACTTAAACTGATCCTTTCGTAAATTCGGAAGTCCCAAGGGTGGGGAAGGGAGTTTCCATAGTGTTGTCCATGTGCTGTGGGAAAGAGATGAATGGTTCTTTCCTTCCCTGCCCCTAGGAAGGGTCATGCATTCTGGAGAAAGATGCAAACTGGAACATGCTGAAAGCAAGAGTGGAAAGGAAGATTTTCTAAGATTCCCACAAAGTCTCCCTCATTGTTATGAAGGCTGGATTGAAGAAAAGTGTAACAAGCATCCGAATGAGAGGCTACAGTAGCCAATGTTACCAGAGACTTTCAGCATCTTTCCCAGCTTTTATGGAAGGCATGAATGGTGAAATTAAAAGCCCAGTGAGTTTTAACCCAACTGTTCTAATTGCCCAATAGAAAAAATGCAGCCCAGTACACTTCATGGGTTTAGAAATAACACTGAAAAGGTAATTTTAAAAACTTAATACAACTAGGCATAAGCAATGCAAGAGTACAAATCTCAACTCTATTTTACTTCCCTGGCATATAAAAACTTTACTTTGTATTAGTCCTACATATGAGTTTTGTTCAAAAACTTTTCATACTATCATTCAT